TTCAGGTGTCAAAACAGGATCTATGTTTAGCTTTAAGTCATAAACTTAACTTGGGTTGATTAACATTGGTGGCAAAATAGAAAAAAGAGACATTAGTCAAATGGTAACTCAAATGATTCAGAATAAAATTGAGACGGGAGAATTACTCTTTAGCTATTATGTTGTTTTGTTGTTATTACTGGCCTTGCCAAGCACATGCTGGTACTGATTTTTTGTTGTTGGTGTTTTGGCAGATCCAAGTTGATGAAGTCAGAAAGCTGGTATATTTTGAAGGCACCAAAGACTCCCCTTTAGAACATCACCTGTACGTGGTCAGTTATGCAAATCCCGGAGAGGTGACAAGGCTGACCGACCGTGGCTACTCCCACTCTTGCTGCATCAGCGGGGTATTAAGTCTCTGTGTGAAGTGTTTCCTGTCACATAAAAATCTCTCTGCTCACATAATATCCCTTTTGAGTGATGTGAAAAATGGTGAAATTGATTCTTCAGACATCTGATCCTCTTAGGAAAAGCTTTAAAAAGCTTAGGCTTAACTTTAGTATTGTGTGTGTACGTAAATGGCCAAACTCTTACTGTATTTCTGCCATAGCACTAGTGCAGATGTAACTGCAGGTAATCTTTTTTCACTTGTCCCTGGGGAAAAACAATAATTGTTTCTTTTTTCTCTAGCATTGTGACTTCTTTATAAGTAAGTATAGTAACCAGAAGAATCCACACTGTGTGTCCCTTTACAAGCTATCAAATACTGAAGATGACCCAACTTGCAGAACAAAGGAATTCTGGGCCACCATTTTGGATTCAGCAGGTACTTATTTTCCCTGTGTTGTTGTTGTTAGGTGCCGTCGAGTTGGTTCTGACTCGTAGTGACCCTGTGTACAATAAGACACTGCCTGGTCCTGAACCATCCTCACAGTCTTTGCTGTGTTTGAGCCCATTGTTACAGCCTCTGTGTCAGTCCATCTCCTTGAGAGTCTTATTCTTTGTCACTGAGCCTCTACCAAGCATGATTGTCTTTCTCCAGGGACTGGTCCCTTCCGATAACATGTCCAAAGTACGTGAGATGAAGTCTCGCCATCCTTGCTTCTAAGGAGCATTTTGGCTGTACTTCTTCCAAGACAGATTTGTTCCTTCTTCTGGCAGTCTGTGGTATATTGAATATTC